TGTCAATACGGGAACTTGTTAAAAAAATGTGGTTTACCTAAATCCACTATTCACGGAGTGCTCATAAAATTATCGGAACGTTTAACGGTCGAGAGGAAACCCAGAAGTGATAAAAACATTGAACCTGCTGATCCTGTCATGGACCGAAAGGTGAAGAGGATATTGACCAGAATCTCTCTGCTCGAACGGTGGCTCGTAAAATAAGAATGTCACCTGATTTTGTCCAAACATCAAAACAGCTTTCGGGGCTGAAGTCGTGTAAAGTAAAAACGGTTCCAAATAAATCGCAACGACGAACAGAATTTGACAGCAAAATCACGGGCTCGAGGTTTTTACTGCAAATATTTGATGAAGTTTTCATGCGTTGTTATGGACGATGAAACTTATGTCCTGGAGGATTTAAAGCTGCTTCCACGGCTGGTTTTCTATTCTGCTATGGCCAAAAATGCTACAGTTGAGTATTTTCAGGCATCGAAATTTCCAAAAAAAAAAAACCGTATTTGGCAAGCAATTTTCACGTGTGGCCGAAAGAGTAAATCTTTCGTCACTACAGGCACAATCAACAAGGGGATTTGTGTTTTACTCAAGTTTTGATGTGTCTGGATTATTGTGGATACAGACCTTATTATGTTAAAGTTAACGATTTAAATGAAAAGTTGTTTTAGAAATCTACAAAATGGTGAGTTGACAACCTGGAAGGAGCGGAATACCTAGCTCTGGTCCTCACAAGTTCCTACTTCACGCCTCCCCAAGTCATATGATAACAAAAGACTACCAGCTGTAACAAGGACACAGCTGGGTGGCGTTGCCTGGGCAATGTTGCCAGTCCGGCAATAGCAAAGTGGAGGGGTGTGACGCGAACACTGGCGCGGTAACCATACAAGTACGGTGATAGAGGAAATGCTTCACCAAACCCAAGCGGATGGAGGTGCGACTCAAAACAGCGTCTGTTCTCCATGTTAGGAGCGGCTGATCACCGTCCTAGTGCCAGCGTGGGTCTCTAAACAGAGCTGTACACGATGGTCCCCCGGCGAGACAGCGGGTTGGGGCAGGCCCAACAAGCCGCCCTGGAAAAACATAAAGTTGCATCGTGAGGCGATGGAAAATCTGTACAGCATAAACGACACACGGAAGTTCTACGAGAAGCTAAATAGTTCACGCAAAGGCTACGTGCCGCAAGCCGATATGTGCGAGGACTTGGACAGTAACCTTCTCACGAACGAGTGTGAGGTGATTGAGAGGTGGAAGCAGTACTATGACGAGAACCTCAACGGTGAAGTAGCAGAAAACGAAGGTGGCACGGCAACAGACCTTGGAGCACGCGCAGAAGACGACAGGCTACCGGCCCCTGATCTTCAAGAAGTTGAGGAGGAGATCGGTCGGCTGAAGAACAAGAAAGCAACTGGTGTAGATCATCTACTAAGTGAGCTATTAAAATACGGAGGTGAAGCACTGGCTAGAGCGCTGCACTGGGTAATTGCCAAGATTTGGGAGGAGGAGATATTACCGGAGGAGTGGATGGAAGGTGTAGTATGCCCAATCTACAAAAAGGGCGACAAGTTGGATTGCTGCAACTACCGCGCGATCACACTGCTGAGCGCGGCCTACAAGGTCTCCCAAACTCTATGCCGCCGCCTGTCACCATTTGCAAGAGAGTTCGTGGGGCAGTACCAGTACCATGGGTGCCCGCGCTACCACGGACCAAATTTTCGCGATTCGGCAGGTTCTGCAGTGTTTTCGAACGGAAGGTGTTGCGTACCATCTACGGTGGAGTGCAGATGGATGACGGAACGTGGAGGAGGCGAATGAACCACGAATTTCACCAGCTGCTGGGAGAACCATCCATCGTCCACATTGCAAAAATTGGGCGACTACGGTGGGTTGTGCACGTCGTAAGATTGCCGCACGACGACCCAGTGAAAATGGTTCTAGAAAGTGACCCAACAGGAACGAGAAGAAGAGGCGCGCAGCGGGCAAGGTGGATCGACCAAGTAGAAGGCGACCTGCGGACCCTTCGCAGACTACGAGGCTGGGGAAGTGTGGCCATGGATCGAGTAGAGTGGAGACGACAGCAGAGGACAACAAGGCCTTAGCCTGATTGGTGAGGTAAGAATGTTTTAGAAATCTTGAACGTAACCCAATGAGTTCTAGCGAAAACATTTCGACATCGTGGAAATTCTATAGGTATTCCCCTTTTTTTACTTGAATTTCAAGATGATTCAGAGTATAGTTCTATAGAATATATGCGAATTGTGAGGAGAATTCGATGTTAAATTTAAGGGGAATTTAAAAGGAATCCTGAAGTGAAATTTGTTTAATTTTTTGGGGGTAACTTCAAAGGAATACTGAAGAGTACACTAAGGGAATTTTGAAGAGATTTTCCTTGAAATTTCAAAAAGAATTTCAAGGGATGGAGTTCTGACGAAGACTAAAAGAATTTCAGGGTCCACTTAAAGGGGATTATGGAAGAATCCTGTGAATAAATTTCAAGCGAACCGAATTCTGAGAAAGCGGCTTCCAGAGCAATTCTAGAGATGATTTCAGCAAATTTCTTAGAAAAATTTCCATGAAATTCCATGGAGATCTTCAACAAGAGTTAAATATATCTATGTGCATTCCATTAGACTAGCTCTGATCAGAATTTCATGGCGTTAAACTGTGATGTTATTTTTTTTTTTTATAATAAAATAATGGAAATCTGAAGAAAAAAATTTCAAGAAACTCTAAGAGGAATGTCCTATGAGGAAGTCCAGTAGAATAAACAAGATAAATCAGACGCAGACAACAAATTTCACAAGACAGATACAGGACCTGCTTTTTATTAAAGGGAGTCTTTGAAATGTTTTGTGATTGGCTTTTATCAATTTCGGAGCCTTTCTACGCTGTAGTCACTAACTTGTTATTATTCCAAATTATTTCTATGATTTTCTTCAAACAGTTTCCTGTTAGTAAATGGCGCTGTTACATCTGGCGTAATGCTGTTTTACCAATTGCCTATTAAATAAAGGGCATACATATTGTGTTAGCAATTATAAATGCGATTTATGCCGTCTCTGGTCTGATAAAAAATCATTGCTACGCGTTACACCTGGAAGGGGGAGGGGGGGGGGGGAGGGGGTATTGGTAAATGTGTTATGTTTGGTTACTGGGAGAGTATAAAACTGCATTTTTTGTATTACATAATTTGTTAACAGACTCAAGGTTAGTTTGCAGGAGTGTCCTTTTATTTGCGGTGGTTGAAGTCATCGTTTGCCAAAGCAGTACAGTCGAATTTAGCTCGTTAGGCTATCTTTAAGTGGGCTACGTTTTAGTTGGGCTCCCGTTAGTTAGGCTGTAGTACACCTAATTCGAAGTTAAACGGTATTTCATATTTGCAGAACTTCTAATCTGTTGGAATATCGGCAAAACAATTTAAGTGTGTATGCAGAACAACCCAGACGTCGAATCGATGCCGAGAAGTTGAATCGATTTTCGGTCTTCGACAAAGTTGTTCTGCATAGTTTTCCCACTCAAAGTCCCAGGATTGAGCAATTTTTGAATATGTAAACAAAGTGGAATCCGTTCATATTTGGCACAGTTGTTGGATACCTCAATTCAGATTGAAAGAACACTTGGGATCAGGGGTTGTGATCCACCATACAAACTTGAACCACCCTAATGTCCATTCTGCTGGAAGTCAATGATGACTGTAGTTACATCAAAATGTAGATCTAATGCCTTCCGATGTTGATGTAGTCATCAAAACTCATTACCTTCGTTGCATAAGGTCCCAAGTGTCCTAAGGGAAACACATTTTGTTTACCAATACAATGTTATGAACATCCTATAAATACCGTCCCTTTCCATGACGCAAGCCACGCAGCCTCCAATGATGCAATTCCCGCCAATTGAATCAGCTGCATTTCCTACATTGCACCACAATGCTTAGTGCAAATTGATGATCTCTTCACCCATTGGTCAAGCTCGTACAATATTAAATGCAATCATTTTCCCCCGACTTTCTACACCTATAGATAATGCAAACACCGTAATGCACCGCCGCAAAGTTTGTTGCAGTCTCGGTGCCTTCGGTGCGGCAAATATTTGCAGCCGCCATCACCAAGTCACATGAACCGTTCCAGCCAATGTTGCCGTCGACGTAGTCGTCAATAATGTGAATGCTAATTGCAAATCGCGGCCAACTTGGATGCCGTCACTACGTCAATTCCATATTCCGGCAAACGCGAGTTCAGTGGCGACGACAGAGTCGGTGTTTTGCACTCGCCGACTCCAAAGTTCAAAAGTGGCGTGATCGAGCGTTGTTCGGCAAAGTGTAAGCTATCACCACTTGTGTGCTGTTGCTTGTGTGTATTTGGTACCGCCGGTCACATGTGTGTCAATCTCAATTTCACATCGCACTTGATATTGTTATTCTAAATGAAATGAAGAGAATTTATTACTGTGGAGGACGTTTGCAACCGCTGGCCGGTTGCGACTGCTTTCCATATCAGTGGGACTGTGGCTTAATTTGTGAGGCAGCGTAATTCCGCTTCCAGACGGTTGCTGTTTACCAACCTGTGCAGGTTTGTTTTCCTTTGGCTCACAAGTAGTAGACACTGCGGCTTATTGGACACGCATAGTTGTGGCGTGACTCTGAAGTGATGCTAAACGGTCAATTTTATCGTTAAGATCAGGGACACAATTTTGTTTTCGTACCAAATTGTCATCGATGGCGGGGAGCAAAAAATACCGTAACCGCCTGCTGTGCTATGTTTACTTTTAACATTATTATTCATTCGCACCCGGGCTTCCAAAGTACAATTCCGCTCAAACAAAGCACATTGTTTGACGATCCATCAAAGAAGAGAGTGTGCACTACACAAGTGGATACTGATAAGAAAGAGTGATGGTAAAACACATTTCCCTCCTTTGACGTAAAGCTGTGAATCTGTTGCTCAACTGAATGCAATTTTTTCGACAAGAAGCGGAAGGTTGTTGTGATATTTTTAACCATAAAAACATTGTTTTTGATGTTTTTCATGTTTTACTTTTACAAAAAAATAATCATAAACATACGAGTAAACAATAATATAGCTCATTTTAAAAAAAATAAGGTTTGTTTCAAAAATTGGGAAAATATAAGCTTCTCTTGAAATTTCTCTATATTCCTGGGAAAAATTAGGCTCCAGGACTAGACAATCTTCGCTTCCCTAGGTGTACTATATTAACAGTAAACGATGTCCTACACTCACACATACCCGCACACACAGTTACATGCTCGCAGAAAGATTCACACATTCGACGTACATTTCATCACCGAATTAGCTTTAGGATGAAACATTTCCCAATTTAATTATTTAGCTTTTCATTTGACAGAAAAAAAAATGCAAAAATAGTTACGATTACATTAACATTCTACTAGTTAATCAGTTCGCTTATGGTTTGCACACCCGCACACTCACACGCACATAGATGTACAATTTTGTACCGGCACACGTCTACTGTGATTTCTGATCGTCGCCACCTTCTTGCTGCTGTTGGAGCGTCTTGCTGCTATTGGTCGTGGCAACCACGTCCGATGTTTTGGAGGTAGAGGCGGCGGCGGTGGTGGTGGAGGTTGAGGTGGAGGTGCTGCTGGAAGAGGTGGGTTGATCTTCCACGGCTTGCTGTTGTCGTTTATCGTTCAGGAAGTTGAGGTACTGGGTCAGGCGGAGAACGGCAATGAGCGTGGCGACGTAGTCTTTGACGTCTTCCTTGCGGAGGGATTTGACCTGTTTCGATACGGTCCGGTAGACGCGGCGGGCAACTTTGTTCGACAGGCGACCGACGGTTTGAACTGTGTGCAGCACCGGATCGTCCTTGGCCGAGATGGGAGCTGTTGGGAAAATTTGGACGTTAGCATTTTGGATCATACGGGGAGCTCCCAAGCGAAAAACTCACCATTATCCTCCTCGACGTCGCCTTCGCACTTGGGGAAGTAGAGGTCCAGCAGGCGTTCGGCCACCTTTACCGTCGAGTCGACGCCGTTCACGGCAATGCTTCCGTACTGGCTGGCCAGTACTTCGTTGGCCTTCTTCCAGGACAGTTCCTTGAGGGAGGCGGCCTTCTGCTGCGATGCCTGTCGGAGTTCGCAGACCTTCTCGGTGTAGGGTTTGACCGTGTCCAGAACCTTGCACTTGGCCTGATTGTAGATCTCCTGCGGTTGTTCCTTAATGATGGGAGCCGAGACTTCCAGGCGGTCGATGCCCTTGACCAGAGTCTGGTCGACCAGCTGCAGTGGGCGGTCGAACTTGTGCACCAGCGGAGCGGAGATGCAGACGGCACGGTGCACTACGTCCTCGGCGGTTCCGAAGGCCCAGTTCAGCAGCGGGTTGTAATCTGGAAAGAGGCGAGCGAGGAGGAAAAGATGCTTCATTAGAAGTGCGTCATTCGTGGTCGGTCGAGCGAAAGTCGCAATCTTATCAGGCGGACGTGATAAGCGCCTATTTGCAGCCTGAATTCTGTGTCACTGTGGGGAAGGCCGCGTAGGGCAATTCGAGCTGATGGGTTTGTTCGTTGGTTCGGTCAATATTTGGAATGCACCAATCAAAGTTTAAATGTTATTTATGATCTCGAGGGATTTGAGTGGAAATGGGTGACTTTGAACTGTGCGGTCGTGTAGATTACGAGATTTCCTTAAATGTTTTGAGACATAATCGGATTGAAGATTGTTGATATGCTCAAATTCAACCAATCCAGAATTCTGGTACAAGGTGTTCTTCTGTTGAATCCATTATTTGAGCATCTAGCTGGAACTCCATAATATCCCACCTGATATTCCAAAGAGGTTTCAGAAATTTTCTGGTCCTCGGAATATCCCGCCTGAGAAATTCCGCTAGGGGGTGTTTTGCGTATCTCATCTGGAATAAATTTCCAGAATTTCGCCATAAATTTCAAAGAATCCCGTCTTGGACTTCGAAGGCTCTTGCTGGAAATTTTCTAGACACAAACTTTTTCGAACGATTGGACCCACGGAGAATGCTGCTGGGAAATATTTCTCCAAATATTCTGAGAAATTCCACTGTTTTGGCTATCATCTGGCACTTTGGATTCACCTACAATTGGGAATAGTTCAGCCCTGGATTCCAAAGAGTCATATGACATTTATTTAACATTTGAAATTCCTGACGGTTAGGCTCAAGCTTCCGTTGTATTCCGCTCCCGTAACTTATCTGGGAACCTTGTCTTGAACTCCAAAATATCCCGTCTGAAATTCCAAAGCGGCACATCCTAAATTTGCTGGATTTCGCGAAGAAAATCACACATGCGGTGCAGATAAATTCCAGTAGAGATTTTTACGTGTCTCATATGGGTTTTTCATTCTCGAACTCCTAGAGCAGTATCCCGCTATAAATTTCAAAAAATCTCGAATTGGACTCCAAAGGTTTGTGTTAGAACAGAGGAACATTTCAGAACGATTAGACCCAAGATTCCGATGTATCCCACTTTAGATTCTCTTGTATAACGTACCTAGAAGATTATTAAGAATCCCGCTGGGAAATATTCCGTCTAAGATGATGAGAAATTCCGCCAGATGTGTTGACGTCTAATCTAGAATCTTCTTCAGAAGCTTCTTTTAGAATTTTCTTAAGAAGCTTGTTTTCAAATCTTCTTAAGAAGCTTGTTTTAGCATCTACTTCAGAAGCTTCTTTCAGAATCTTAAAAAGAAGCATCTTTTAGAACCTTCTGAAGAAGCATCTTTTAAAACCTTCTTATGAAGCTTCTTTTAGAATCTTGTTTTAAAATCGTCTTATGAAGCATCTTTAAGAATCTTCTTTTAGAATCTTCTTAAGAAACATCTTTTAGAATCTTCTGAAGAAGCATCTTTTAGAAACCTTCTTATGAAGCTTCTCTTAGAATCTTCTTAAGAAGCTTCTTTTAGAATCTTCTTCAAAAGCACCTTTTAGAATTTTCTTAAGAGCTTCCTTTAGAATCTTCTTAAGAAGCTTCCTTTAGAATCTTCTTAAGAAGCATATTTTAGAATCTTCTTAAGAAGCATATTTTAGAATCTTCTGAAGAAGCATCTTTTAGAACCTTCTTAAGAAGCATCTTTAAGAATCTTCTTATGAAGCTTGTCTTAGAATCTTCTTCAAAAGCACCTTTCAGAATCTTCTTAAGAAGCTTCTTTTAAAATCTTTTTAAGAAGCTTCTTTTAGATTCTTCTTAAGAAGCATCTTTTAGAATCTTCTGAAGAAGCTTATTTTAGAAACTTCTTATAAAACTTGTTTTAGAATCTTCTTCAAAAGCATCTTTTAGAATCTTCTGAAGAAGCATCTTTTAGAACCTTCTTATGAAGCTTTTCTTAGAATTTTCTTAAGAAGCTTCTTTTAGAATCTTTTCCAAAGCACCTTTTAGAATCTTCTTAAGAAGCTTCGTTTAGAATCTTCTTAAGAAGCTTCTTTTAGAATCTTCTTCAGAAGCTTCTTTTAGATCCTTCTTATGAAGCTTCTTTTAGAATCTTCTTAAGAAACATCTTTTAGAATCTTCTGAAGAAGCTTCTTTTAGAATCTTCTTATGAAGCTTCTCTTAGAATCTTCTTAAGAAGCTTCTTTTAGAATCTTCTTCAAAAGCACCTTTTAGAATTTTCTTAAGAGCTTCCTTTAGAATCTTCTTAAGAGCTTCATTTAGAATCTTCTTAAGAAGCTTCCTTTAGAATCTTCTGAAGAAGCATCTTTTAGAACCTTCTTAAGAAGCATCTTTAAGAATCTTCTTATGAAGCTTGTCTTAGAATCTTCTTCAAAAGCACCTTTCAGAATCTTCTTAAGAAGCTTCTTTTAAAATCTTTTTAAGAAGCTTCTTTTAGATTCTTCTTAAGAAGCATCTTTTAGAATCTTCTGAAGAAGCTTCTTTTAGAAACTTCTTATAAAACTTGTTTTAGAATCTTCTTCAAAAGCATCTTTTAGAATCTTCTGAAGAAGCATCTTTTAGAACCTTCTTATGAAACTTATTTTAGAATATCCTTAAGAAGCTTCTTTCAGAATCTTCTTCAAAAGCTTATTTTAGAATTTTCTTAAGAATCTTCTTAAGAAGCTTCTTTTAGAATCTTCTTAAGAAGCTTCTTTTGGAATCTTCTTAAGAAGCTTCTTTTAAATCTTTATAAGAATATTCTTTAGAAGCTTTTTCTTTAAAATATTATTTTAGAAGTTTATTCTAAAAGCTTGAGCGTTGCTCCGCTCCTCTGACTTAAAAAAACGGACAAGACAGTAAATCAGAGTAGCTACGCTGTAAAGGAGCATTTTTCCAAGATTATTGGAACGTTTTATGTTTTTTATGTTATGAAAAGCATATGAATTGGGATTCAAAGTGCCTGAAATCTAAAAAAAAATAAGTCCCTTACAATTTGCTCCATAATACCCTAGAAATTCTTAATAGAAGGTTGTTTGATTCACTCTGAAATTCTCTTAAAATTATTAATTGGATTCCATGTATTACCCAGGAATTCCCTATAGAATTCTCCTGAAATAAACTCTCCTCGAATTCACTAACTATTCTCCTAAAATTCCAAATTTTATCGTCGAATTATCGTCGGAAAATCCTCTAAATTCCACACAGAATTCTCTTGGAGTTGTCTCGTAAATTCGTTGAAATCATCCTCAGAATTCTCAAGGAACTCTTATTTGTGTTCACTAAAACATATTTCAGGAATGAAACTCCTTGAAACTCTCCTAAGTAGTTTTTTTTTGGAATTATACTCAGATATTTCGTTGATTTTTTTCAGAATTCCCTTTGGATTATCCTTCTTCTCTTGGAATTCTACTCACAAGAACCTTGGAGTTCTCTGTACAAATCAATTAGAATTATCCTCAAAATTTCCTTGCAATTTTAATCAGAATTCTCTTTGGAATTACCTTAGAAGTCTCCTCGGAATGCTATTGGAATTTTCGTTTGAATCCTAGTCATGATTTTCTTGGGATTCTACTCCAGACTACCCTAGAAATCTCCTTGCGTTTCGCCTAGAATCTGGAGTTCACAAAACTTCTTTACATTACCAGCTTATTGGTTATCGCATATTAGCTTACACAAGATTTTATCATAGTCTTGTAGACCATGATTTGGACTTGAATAATGCTGTAAAACCTTGATAAAGCTTGCAATGTTACTTGGGTATTGTGTGCTCTCAACTTAGTGTTCTAGATGCACTTCCACAGTTGCTAATTGAGAGCTTTCGATGCCTGTACCATTTTTTCATTAGTATAATTGTGTGGCAAGTACAATCATACTTCATGCCCAGGGAAGTCGGGAAATTTTCCAACCCGAAAAATCCCTAGACCGGATCGGGAATCGAACCCAGCCACCTCCAGCAAGGTGTTGTTTTGAAACTACGCCTTTACCAACTGAGGTAAGGGAGGGCCCAAAAAAAAACATGAAAGGAATCCTCTTAGATCACTTCAAGTTTTCGTAGCAATTCTTTCCTTGAATTCCGAGCTCCTTGGGAATTCTCATCAAATTAATTCACTTAAGTCCATAAGCGGCGAAACTCTTGCAAGTCCCTTGAAGCAGTTCCACACCAAATGACGAATCGATCGGATGCGAGCTGCCCAGATTTGCATGAAACTTTGGAAAATCGTTCACTTTTGAGCTAAAATTCTGTCATTTTGAATCTTGCAAAAACCTTAAATTTGTTCCTACTGTTATGATCGGTAAAATGTCTAAACCAAGGGCCTGACACGCCACCTTCTTTTCGTAGTCAGCATAAAAACGTGATCACATATCAATCTAAGCGGGCCCAGAACGTGGGCCCGCTACTATGCTCGCTAAGGCTACTTGTTATTAGTAGAGATGGGGGTGCCATCTCCTTGGCCTAAACCCTTTGAGAGATTTTCTTTGAGAATTTACTCAATAATTTCCTTAGAATCATCTAAAAATTACCTCAGAGTTCGTCTTAGAACTCTCTCTGGTATTCCCTTACAATTTACTCCATAATACTCTAGAAATTTTCTTCAGAAAGCTCTTTGATTTACTCTACAGGTCTTTTACTCTACAGGTCTCTTGAAGTACTTAATTAAGTTCGCTGTATTATCCAGGAGTTTTCACAGAATTTTCCTGAAATAAACTCTCCTCAGTATTCACTAAGCATCTCTTGAAATTCTCATAGAATTCCCTCTAAATTTCGCTCCCGTTAATTCAAATGCTCTTCAAGAATTTCCTAGAAACTCTTCATTGATTTCTCTTTAAAATGTATTACAGGAATAGCCGAGAGGGACGACTCTATCTACGATGCAGGAAAGATTTTGTTTTGGAGTGGTTAGCTGCGCGCACGCTGAGTAGATAGAATGAAGATTGATGAAGATTCTGGAGATTTCCTCCAAAAAGTAGACGCGAGAAATGAAAAACAGATTTTTTGTAGATTGATTTGTTAGTGTCAGAATTTTCGAGCATCTAGAATTGAGATTTAGATGTGAAGTTCCCCTCGGCAATAGCCTTGAAACTCTCTTGAGTATTCCTTTGAAATTTACCCCAAAACTTTTTTGGGAATTTATTTGAAACTTTCAATAGAAATCTATTGGAATACTTTTCAGAATTTGTTTGGCACTATCCTCAAATTTCTCAATGAATTCTTAGTGGATTCTCCTTCTTCTCTTGGAATTCTACTCGCAAGTACCTTAGAGTTCTTGTCACAATTTTTTTATGAAGAACTCTCTTGGAATTCTCTTTGGAATTACCTTGGAATCCTGTTGGAAATATCCTTTGAATCCTACTCACGATGCATGTCATGCTACGTCATTTATGGATCATCCCTTACGTTTCATCTGGAGTTTAACAGAACTAACGTGAAAGGAATCCTCTTAATATTACTTCAAATGTTGACACTGAATTGTTTGTATTGGGCAATGATGCACATTTTTCTAAAATTCGGCCAATTTAGATCTTGTAAAATTTTCAAGCGTCAGGACACGCCTCTAAAAGAATATTTTATCGAAAAATTTACAATATCCAAATGGCCGAATTTTGAAAAAAAAAATTAGTCATTTCCCAAAACAAACAATTCAGTGTCAACATTCTAAAGCGGCGTAATAGCATTTGTAAACAATGGCTATAGCCGTCGATTTCTCACGAATTAAAGCTCACCCCTCCAAATTAACAATGCTAGCTGGTAGAGGAAATATTCATCTACATGTTGATGTTATTTATTTTCATGTTTACAAAAACAATTGCGTCCCTTTCAAATGTTGACACTGAATTTATTATGCTTGTTTCATGCAAATTGAAGAAGGTCGAGTTTTTCCGATTCGTCATTTGGCGTGGATCAAATCGATTGAAATTTGAAAGTGTTCATTGAACAAGTAACAATACTTAACCGAGCTAATTCTTGTCAATGCTAACAATTTCACGAACAGTCATTTAACACTTCTTATTTTAGGTTTGTTTATCTACTGGACAGGTAATGTTTCGTATCAATTAAGCGATCTGCTAACGCTCTCAAGACACTTGACAGTTATTTGTTGTCCAAAAATATGCCGAATTACTTCCATCAGCATTCAAAGAATTCTTGCTGCGTCATTGGATAAAGCCTTACAAGGAGCATCTACAATTTCAATTGGCTGTGTCTCCGTAAATCGAGATCTCTAGTACCCATAAATTGAATAAGTACTACGCAGTAGCTTCCTATTACATCAAAATCAACCATGTCAGACTTATCAACTGGTTCCAACCGACTGGTCCTGTTGACAACTTTCAGTATGTCTAATCTAGCAACGAGCAGACATGCTCTTATCATCCTTCCCGGTAGCCAAGGCATCGGCCTACTCCAAATGTCCAATAAAACATCCAAATCAACACCGACGTTATCACTTTCAATTGACCAACAAAACGAATGTCACCTTCACAGAAACTTCCGCCTGATAGTGCCCTCTCTCCCTAATAAATCCAGTAACTAAAAACTTCCATCCCGCATTGCTACGACTGCTATGATCCAAAGGCAACCAACAGCAACAGCATCATCACCGTGCACGACGAGCATATGAGTGAGTCGGCTGCGGCTCTAAATTGGGTCCAAAGTACAACACCGATGTATGATGGTGATACCCGCATGTCGTGTAAATACCACGCAACGTAAATGCACATAATCCGCATCGTTGTAAACCACTACCCTTCCTATAGTTCGTTGGGTGTTTTTGCTCTCGCTCTGCCTGCCTGCTGCGGCAGAGGAGAACCTACCACATGATCATACGATGCGAACATGACGCAGAGCGCGAGTGGCTGCCAAGATGACGCGGTTGGCTGAGTCGCGAGTCCAAAGATCGCTGCGGAGATGTTATTCCGGTTTGTTTGGTTCGTCCGCGTGCCTCAAACAACCCCCCGCCCCACCCCCAAAACTAGTGGATTCCACCACACCTGTCTACTAAAAAAAAAGCAGCACAGCAAACCATTCTCTCCGCCGTAAACTTGCACGTACCTACTCTTTAGCGGTTCTTGTTTGGGCTCCAGTTACCTGCTCGCTTCAGTGGAATCTCCCCTTCACCAAACAGTGTGTAAAAAAATTTGCTTCTACAGAAAATATAAACACAAAATCGAAATCGTTCCAAACGGTCGGAATCACCTGATCGAGTGTGTTTTATTTTTCGTTCAAGTCATGCTGACGTTGGTGCACTGCTTTTTTTGTGTTGTTGTGTGCCACTGTAAGCTGTCACATTCCCCTATTCCATTTGAACAAGCGCTCTTTAGCGCTTCAATAAGCCGATTAGGTTGGGATAGTGATTGCGTTTGAATGCGAGATGGAGGAATGAATGGAGGAAGACGACATATGCAGTCGGTCACGTAGGCTGGAAGATTCCAGAACGACGAATAGTTGGAAGAGAAATTGGAAAAGATTGACCTCGCCCAAGATCGCTCATTTGCGTCGTAGAAGAAGAACGCATCCTGCCGAGCCAAATCACGTGGCCAGTCAAAAACCTAGCCACCCCTAAACTCCACCACAGTCTACTACGATCGATGCGGGATTCTAGTTGCTGGACACTTGCGAGCACAGCAGATGACCTCAATGTCAAATGAATTGATTATATAAAAGCCAGTATCATGTCAGTCCAGTGTACAGTGCATAGCATTTGCACGCCATTTTTAAAGGGACAACGTGCTTCCCAAAGAAATCAGCACATAAAGCTTCTATTGTTCCCCCACGTAATCAATAGATCCAGTAGAGAGGGTCAGTGGCACTTACCTTTCACGCGTCCATAGACATTTTGGGTCTGCTGCCAGGTTGCGTCCACGACCGGCAACTGGAGCATACGGTCCAGTGATTGCAGACTCGCAAACAGATTGCTCTGATTCTCGCCAGTCTGGGCGATTTCTCCGTTTTCCTGCACTTTAGCCGACATAATTCTTGTATTTTTTCAAACTGATGAAAATCACTTTCACACTTATTAGTAGTTGTGACACACGGGGGGGGTCACACTGGAGAGTTAAACACTCGACACTTCACAACCTGACGACGTCCGGGAATCGAATGAGCTGCCGCCGATGGGACTGACTCGCTTGAACCCGAGGTATTGATATCACTCACGCTCTCTGCACGACGATCGGTGAATAACTCACAATCGCTCGCTCTCGTCTGGTGAGTCGCTTCCACTCTGTTCGTTGCACTCACTCGCTGTGTCTATCCACAGTTTACTTGGATGGTTAATTTGAAACGTCGTTCCGTCCGTAGGTAAGAACCACTATGATTTCTTCTCGTTACGCGATGATTGATTCAATAAAAAATATGGTCACTTCTGGCCTGTTCTATTCGTAGTAATGGTCAAGATTAGAGGTTGTGTTCGGTATTTATACCACCGGTGCGGAGCGGGTTATCTGTCCTCGGACTTCTGGATTGGGTAAGAGCACCCCGATAAGGGACTTTTTTTTGTTACCGGAGGGTTTATCAGTGTGTGCAGCGTGACAGGGTTTCAGTTTGAGCTTGGGTTTTGTTTTTCTTGAATTCTGTTGTCCAATCAGTTCAAATACTTTCACACTGTTAGGAAACAGCAAAAATGGGCCACCTTCTAGAAGGATTTATTTTCTTCTTAAAATATCTGCTGGAACAACGAAAATGCTTTCGGTAAAGCGCAGGTCTGTAGGGATGCCAGGTGTATTAAAAACATCTTCACCGAGAATGGCGAAAAAATATTCCACAAAGTTGGGGAAGTTGTTCAATATTTCAGATGTATTTCGAATGGTAGTAGTTAAGAGATTAGCACAATAAGAATAATGAAATCAGCATTTAATTTCGAAAACCGTAACAGTCCTGTGGATTAACAAATTCAGACTCTTTTGACACAATGTTTTCAAATAGTTGCCACACACCAATGAATTTTCAAATTGATTGCAATCTTTGTATTGCCATAAATTGATAAAGTGTTGCCATTGTAGGTCACTCCGCACACCAATCTTGGGTCATCTTTTTTGTCAGTGTACCGCCAGTGTGCCGCAGGTGTGCTGATTGTGCCGGTCATAGAGCAAGTCCTGTGTTTTAGTGTTTTATAATGCCCTCAAAGGCAGACCGAGGCGTCGAAACTCTCGGGGCGCACTACCAAGGTTATGAAATTAGGTACACCGACGGCTCTCTCACCAGGAACGGAGTGGGAATGGGGGTCTCCGGAGATGGTCTGCTTGTGAGCAGATCGCTCCCGACCCAATGCTCGGTGTTCTCAGCTGAGGCAGCGGCCATTCTCCACGCGGTTAAGTTACCGGCCAACCGGCCGATATTAGTCGTAACTGACTCACACAGCGTGATATTGGCCCTAACAACAGAAACACCGAAGCATACATGGATCCAAGGAACGGTAAAGCACGCGCCGCCCAACACAGTATTCATGTGGGTACCCGGTCACTGCGGGATCCAAGGGAACGTAATAGCCGACCACCTCGCTGGCTCAGGCCACACCGGATCCAGGTCCACCGGCAATGTACCGCTCCAAGATGTCAAAAAGTGGATCAAGCGGACGATTCGAAGAGCCTGGGACACCGAGTGGAGGAACAACAGGACACACCATCTTCGGAAGATCAAGGCGACCACCGGAACCTGGAAGGATCCAAACCTACGAGAACAGCGAGTGGTGTCAAGGCTGGTACCGGGCACAGCAGAGTCTCCCACAACTTCGGAGGAACACCGTTGCCAGCCACCATGGAGCACATCCTCGTGAACTGCGCGGAGTTGGAAGACCTTCGGGCTGCCTTCGGCTTGGAGTCAATCAGCATTCGGAACCTGTTGGGCGACGAGTCTCCGGCAACAGCCGTCCTCATCACCTTCCTAAAGGAGGCGAACCTTTACCACAATATCTGAGTGTTCCTTGTTTGTATTTCCGTTTTGGCAGTTTTCTACACCTTTTCATTATAGCAAGATAAATGTACCACAGCCAAGATTGGGAATTTCCTTCTGACAACCCAATAAAGAAAAAAAAGGCAGACCAGAATCCTAGCTTTGCGTGATGTGAAATGCATCGGTCTATCAGCGGCCGGAAAGAGTTGAAACCGGTGGGAAGCATTGTTGTAGACCGACTATAGAGGATGATGAATAGACTTCTGTAGTTTGTTTTGTGCGAGTTGCATCATTATTTGAATTAAGGGTACTAATGGGGTCTGATTAACTGCCTCTTTTTTTTGAGCCCACTCTAGAACCTACATTTAGTATTTAGATCTATAAGTGAACTGCTGGTCTGAGTTCCTCTGATATATTCAATTAGAGGTTGTTCCTGAATATACAGTCAAACAGCACGTAATGTTGTGAACAACTTCAATGACAGTTGACCAGCAGTGTTCCCATATTATTTTCATCAAACCAATGCCTATGAGATTGTGCAGAAGGTGTGCTTAAGGTATGTCGAAGGTGTGCCGATGGATGTGCCCAAGCTGAGCTGAATCTAAATTCGGCACAATGTGCTGAGTGACTTACCCCTTGATTGCCATGCATAAATCCAAATTCTTTTTTTTTCCTTGATTTGTTTTCCATCGATCTTGTTTTCCGTACTCAGTACCAATGCTACCGACGTTAGGAAGGCAGCTCCCACGCCTGGACCCTACCAATCGACCCAACAATTCTGACTGAGGTCCAACGGCTTTACTTCGGCGCCGACTGGAATTGAACCCAGGCCCTTTGGGGTGAGAGGCAATCACACTTACCACTACGCCATCGGCACCAATATCCAAATTCTGTGTTAACTAAAAACCACCGTAGTCCCCAGGATACTTATGATCTCCACACAAAAATAAAGACCTAATTCTAAGCTTACAAATGAAAGTTGTAGCAAGTGCAGCGGTTTGCAGCACGCTTAGTTATAGCACAGACAAACAGACATAACACATTGAATATTTCTCACTGTAAAACATCGTCGCTAAAACATTACCGCCATCTGTTGAGTACACTGTGGTGGGTAGTACGCTGAACAGATGGCGGTAGTGTATAAACGTCAAACGCAAGGGAATTGACTATGCGCGCCACAGGTGGCGGTACTATCAACTACGATACTTTTAAATTATCCGTTAAATGCTTGTTCGATGAACAATTTTCGAGTGTTATGTCTGTTTGTCTGTGGTTATAGCATAGAGGTAACTCTAAGACCAGAAGGTCTCGAAGAAAAGTGCTCAACTTTTTGGCTCAGCTCTGGTGCTCTCTTCGGTCCTAAGCTAATCGATGCATTTATTTTAATTTTATCTGTCAAATCTTCATAGCAAATCAAAACAAACATAGTGTAGTATTAGAATTTAGACTAGAATGGGGTACGTTAATCGATTTGCTTGGGCCCAATTGGCTAGTCAAGTAGTGAGTCAATTTAAAATCGTTAGTTTCGTATTGATTGTTGACCCAGCTGTGTACGTGATTCAGTTGGTATTCTTTTGTAATCGAGGAGACATTAGGTAGGAACTTGTGAGCTAGGTATCACGCACCTTCCAGGTTGTCAACTCATCGTTTTGCAGGCATACTGTAGACTCGTTCTTGATTAGTCTGGATCAAGGATACAGAACGGCTGACCCAGGAGTGGGAACAGAAAGTAATTTGCTACTTTAACAATGCTTATAATGGAATTGCACCATCATTGAACAGTCTTCGGGTTCCTGCTGCACTCTGTAGCATTCGAACAATTGGTTCATGCGCTTGCTTCATCTACGACTTCAGCTAAATACATTTTTGTATCCACGCTCTCGCTCTCCTCTGCTGGCTACTCGGTCTAGTCGAAACACCAATTCTCTGCCAGGTTCGACGAATTAACCGCTGCTACCATTAATGGATAGCTTTTACGCTTTTCGGGTTCCGGAAGAGTGCCTTCAGTATTCCTACAACTCCAGAAGGTTCTGGATCCATGCTTTCCGGCTCCTAAACAAGTAACACGGTCTGGTAGAAATGACGGTTTTTGTCAGGTATCAAATATTGGTACAACACCAGAGATACTGAACCACTAATGACTTTAATCAATGGTTCCAGAGGTGGCCTAGCCTGGGCAATGTTGTGAACCCGATAATAGACGCATTTTGCGCCAAATCGTATTCGGAACTGGCAGTTTAAATTAGTCATTACAAAGACGGTAGAATTTGTCTTTTTATAAACTACTTTGAATAATCGTTTAGAATCCTTTACAAAATGTCTTTGGAATGATCCAATGAATTTCTTTAAAATCATTATCATTAGGTTTTTTTTCAGAATAGCCCTAGGATAAATTTGAGAATCTCTCTCGGATTTCATTGACATATTCTTTAGAAACTTCTTTATATTTATCTTTATAATTTTATGCAGGAAACTACTGACAGAAATCATACAATTCGTCCTAAGATTAACTTCCAATTGTTAATGATTCTTCCCAGGATTCACTTGTCATTCATCCTAGAAAAGTTGGCTTTTTTGGCTTTTCCTTAGTTCTGCATATCAAAAATTAAGTCACAAACCTAAAAATAGCAATGTCAAAGAGTTTTGAAAAATGTTCAAACCAAAGGTGGTGATTTTTGACGTAGAACTACGTCTTTGTCGACTATACTGGGGTGCAAGTCAAAAAATATGTGTGGTGAAGGAGTGTTAGGTTTTGAACGCTTGTAACTTTGTCATTTATAAATGAAATTAAAATCCAAATACGCCAATCAATAGAATATTACATTACGAACCTGTTGAAATAAATATTTTTTCCAATTTTTCTGTAATTAAACTATTGAAAATGTACAAATGATAATTTTATCACTGATTTCATGAAATAAGCCTTTTTCCCAAACCCAGTCATCATAAACGAATACCACTTGGTTGCACATCATTCTGCTTGAACCTGAAAAGATATAAATGAGCGCTGCTCTCATGCCACTGCTCATTACCGCTTCGGACGGCGTGGCGCTAGGTCCTGCATCAAGCAGGACTAGGTTAGCGGTTAAAGGTGGATCACGGCGTGTCCACCACAATGATGAATGATACTTGTAAAAACGTGCATGCAAAACTCCCTCCCGCTTAACAACCCCCTCCCCTCCCCCTTAACAACCCCCTCCCCACCCCCTTTACAATAACCCGAAAAAGACATGGACTATGTATGACGATCATTTTTTTTCGAGAAATAAATTTTAAGCAAAACCCCAATAATGTATGAACAATTAATTTTTTACATGCAGAGCCAACATTTTCAAAAAAAAAAAAAAAATATTGCTTAATAGGAGACATACACTCGATGAATTACCAACAACTGACTGTAAAACATATCTGGTTATAGAGGTAAATTATATTAACATACAAAGTCCATCCTTTATTACATATTCTGCACAAAAGAAACTTTTTGCTCCGCCCCATTCATAAAAAAAACTGCGGGAAATCCTATCAGGTTCTGAACCTGAAAAGATATAAAACAGCGCTGCGCTGCTGTCATGCTTTTGCTCATTGTCGCTTCGGACGGCGTGGCACTTGGTCCTAGCAGCAGTAAGCAGGACTAAATCAGCGGCTATAGGCGAGGGGGGCGACTCTATCTACGATGAAGGAAAAAATGTTTTTTACTGTGGCTAGCTGCGCGCACGCTGAGTAGATATTAAGAAGATTTATGACGATTCTGAAGATTTCTTGCAAAAAGATGATGCACGATGCAAGTAGATGCGAGAAATAAAAGAAGATTTTTCGAAGATTGATTAGCTAGTGTGAGATTTGTTGAGCACCTAGAATTGAGATTTAGATGTGTCGTCCCCCTCGGCTTAAGGTGGATCACGACGTGACCACAATGAGGAAAATCAATACCCCTCCCCCCTTCATAACAATCCCTCGCCCCCCCTAAACAACCTCTCGCCCCCCCCCTCAACAACCTCTCGCCCCCCCCCCCCCCCCCTCAACAACCTCTCGTCCCCCTACCTCAACAACCTCTCCTAATCCATCCCCCCCAACAATAACCCGCAAGCGAGACAGACTTTGACGATCCCTTTTTTCCGGGAAATAAATTTTAAACAAACCACTATCATTAGTAAAATCCAAGTTTTTCCCTTAATTTCTTCCCTCACCGAAACTTTCAAATTTGAACAAAAAATTGCTTGAATGACATGTTTGATGCATTCAATTGGTGAATTACACACAACTGACGGTAAAACATATCTGGTGCCTCTATATATGCAATTATATTAACATCCAAAGTCCATCCTATTTTACATATTCTGCACAACAGAAACTTTCTGCTCCGCCCCATTCATAAAAAAACTGCGGGAAATCCTATTAGGTTCTAAACCTGATAAGATATAAAACAGCGCTGCGCTGCTGTCATGCTTTTGCTCATTGTCGCTTCGGACGGCGTGGCACTTGGTCCTAGCAGCAGTAAGCAGGACTAAATCAGCGGCTTAAGGTGGATCACGACGTGACCACAATGAGGAAAAGCAATACCCCTCCCCCCTTCATAACAATCCCTCGCCCCCCCCTCCCCCAAACAACCTCTCGCCCCCCCCCCCCACCATCAACCTCTCGCTGCCCCCCCCCCACCCCTCATATACCTCTCCTAATCCACCCCCATATAAAAACCATGCGTGACCACACATACTATTCATTTGCGTGTAAATTTCATGTGTACTTCTGAGTGGATTCTGTTTATGTGTGGTCAAATGAAAATCATGTGGAATTTAACATGGATATTTGTCAAGAAAAATGTGTAAATTGTTTTGAGTCAACCATAACCGAAACATTGAAATACTTGAAAATTTTAAGATAAAGTATAATAGTCAAAAATGCATGCAAACCTCAATTTTGTGTGGTTCTACGTCTTACTGCGGTCGTGTCTAGGACACAACCCTTTAATTTTTTTTTTCATTAATTTATTTGATAAGGCTCAACCGAATTTTTCTTACAGAGCCCAGGATTCTTGTTTACTATACAATACATCTTAAAACTATAGTCAAAAGGTACAACACATAAACAATAAACAATGCTATTCAATAAGCCTCCTCCACCAGAACGGGAGCCGCTTCCAGTGGTTTACTTGTATGGCAGATTCGCCAACGGGGGTCAGAGCGCTTCCATTGCAGCAATGGACGCAAAACGTGGTCACACATTCATCACGAAACGGTTGCTTTCCAAAGTCGACGACGCATCGACTGGAAGAACTGCTGATGAAGAACAATGAGGAGGACCACACACACACACCTTGACACAAATTGAGAGTGGTCTGCTTCTTTCGATAGCCGAGTGAACACTGAGTTCGGATTTGGCAAACCAAAAGCATAAACGAACATTTTTTCCCTTAAATATATGAATTGAACTACCAAAAGAAAAATAAGAAGATTTTTGTGATATGAATTTCGACTGAAAGAAACGATTTTTTTGTCGACCAATTTTTGCGCGTTCCAGTCTTTAGTAGACAATATAATCAATTATATTATTTTCTAATGATATAAGCCCTTTTCATATGGAATTCTCAATTAATCCAAGTGATTAGTTGCTGATTAGACGAAATTGAATCACAAATTGAGCTTCATTGGGTTCTGATTTTTAGCTTCACTAGTTTAGTTTTGTGTGAAAATGGTACGTTAAAAAAATCAGTTCAGACATGAAAACAGTTTTTGTAAGAAAAACTTTTTTCCTTAAAACAGGGTGTCGACTCAAAGTAAAAAAAAAATCCCTGACTTTCCAGTCGGTTTTCAGAAAAATTCCAGTCCGCAAAACTCCGTTATTTTAACCTAAGAATTTAAAACGTGATGTGCTTTATTATACCGTAGTGCAAATTAAGGTTAGTTTAAAATGAGCAGCAGGGTAAGCTTTCGAAAATATCAAGAATAGCATACTAATGGCACGTACAACAGAACATGATACTAATACAATTTTTAGAGAACATATGACCGACTTCCTACGAAGGATGTGAATAGGCCGAGGGCTATAAATAAATATTATAACATAATAATGAATAACTACTACTCACAACTAGGCTTAATTAATAATAGGAATATTTAATCAATGTCACCAAGCTCTCAATTTGTGTTCATAATTTCACAGCCAAATAAAAATCAACCCGTAGACGATCCTTTCTCTTAACATATAAATTATTGTAAAATAACAGAGCAGAGATTATTCTTGCTTTGGCAACCGAACCTGAGGATGCACTGCTCATGCATTAAGGTCCAAGCGCAATGACAGCGGAAGCGGAACGGCAGCGGCAGCGGAAAAGCCCGATCTGAGTAAGCCTACTTGTCGGATTGAAAACTAGTTAGAATCAAATCGACTTCGGTTAGTCATCTTGATGTCATTTGTGACAACTGTCAAACTTTCCGTTTCCGTTCCGCTTCCGCCCACATTGCGTTTGGGCCTTTAGTCATTACTTTTAAAAATGTTTATCATTTGAGCAGAACAATTTTCTCCTGCAAACTCTCGGCTTCTTTTTGAGCATCTTGAGCTCTCGGAATCGAGAGCTTCTTTCATACGACGATCCTTGTCTACATGGAAAGCGAATGCGATTTTTCGAACTCGCTGAATAAGTTCATTCAAAATTTGTAAGTTTTCCAACCCGCCTGCATGAGTAGCACCATCATAGATCTGACGTCGCGCTACGACTGAAGGCCCAAACGCAATGTGGGCGGAAGCGGAATGGAAACGGCACGTTTGACAATTGTCACAAATGACATCAAGATGCCTAACCGTAGTCAATTTGATTCTAACTAGTTTTCAATCCAACAAGTAGGCTTACTCAGATCGGGCTTTTCCGCTACCACTGCCGTTCCGCTGTCATTGCGCTTGGGCCTTGACTCTTCCCTCATGTTTTCAAAAAGATATATGCATTTACCGAAAAACCTCTCTCTGCATTGGCGCTGCCATCCCTAATAAACAAATATCATAAACGAACTGTATCCCGGACGTGGGGGGCGACTCTATCTACAACGCAGGAAACATTGTGTTTTGCTGTGGTTAGCTGCACGCACGCTGAGTAGATAGAAAGAAGATTGATGACGATTCTGAAGATTTCCTGCTTAAAGAGATGCGCGATGCAAGTAGATGCGAGAAATGAAAGAAGATTTTTCGAAGATCGATTCGCTAGTGTGAGATTTGTTGAGCATCTAGAATTGAGATTTAGATGTGTCGCCCCCTCGATCCCGGATGGTTATACCCCGAACACGTCGTTAAGCTCTCTTTTATGGTTATTTTTATTAGGGATGCGATAAGCAGTAAATAATTTTCGCAACCAACAATAGTTCTGAATACGCCGACCAATAACCTGTGCCAAAAAACGTCCAGTCGTTCCTTTTTGCGATCATATTGATCAAATATGCATTTACCTGTGCAATATTGTTCAGATGATCAATATGAATGAACCTTTCTATAATGCCTCTAACTAACGCGATGTTGCACAAAAAAGGCACCATAGGGTTGTCCGTCTGAAATTCGCATAGAAATGGCTTAACTTTGACAGCAACTGATTTGAAGAAAGCTAGCTTAATACCACGTTCAGACTACAGAGTTATAACATGTTATAACGGTTGTCAAATAATTGCATGTATTTAAATTTAATGTAATGGTTAAGAATTGACAGAATTTCCCCTACATAACTACCTTGGGCGGATCAATGTTGAGTTACATTGTACACTCAGAAAAAAATTTAAACTAACTAGTATAAAAGTCACACTAAAACGCTATTCGCCTGGTTGACCCCAGGCTTCAATTAGTTGCCAACAAAACGAGCCTAGTATAAACTTGAAATATAAGGAGCATAGTATATCTTTTGAATATACATGCGTAGTTTAATGCTGGTTTATCCCAGAAACGATTTCCACGCCCCCAGATTTGTTTTCGATCTGCCAGAAGGATAAATATGCTAATAACACCGACAGATTGAAAATGTAACTTAGTTAAGAGGGCCATTCCCTTGCAAAGGTGGGAAGGGCATTTTTGTACTAGTCACATTTTCAATATGTCGATGTTATTAACTACTGATTAACCAATTAAACAATTATATTTTTTGCATTTATTTTGGTGCAAAACATAACTAAACTTGTTACATTTTATCCTTTCTTTCTCCTGTTCTCCATCTATTTTATGTCGAATCCTAGACAATCCTAGAATATTGTAAAATGAAGTATTGATTATGAAGTAATTAGTTTTTTTTTATGTTTCAACTAAATGGTCTACTAGTGAATCTATCAATAAACAGTGAAATTACTACTAATTTTTAACAATTTTTTTTCTTAGTTGCTATGACTTTATCATATTTGAAATAACTTTTGCTTAAGAAATGTCGCGGGAAGATGATTAAGCCTGTGGAAGTGTTTTAACAGCTTTAGATAGATGTGCGCAAAGATCATTGACTCGCGTTACACGACTGTACTTAAGAATCTTGTAAACAAAAACATCAAAAAAATCAAGCGTTTTCTTCGCTCTACTGGGCACTTTTACATTTAGTACTTTGTAAATCTTCAATAGTAAATCTAACGCTTGGAAAAAGTCTGGTCCGCATGCGATTGTGCTCCTATCTAAAATAACATAGTACATTCCTTCCGCAAAGGCAAGCGTATCACAATAAATGAACGGTGCACATGAGGTATCGATTTCATCATTAGGTGCTTCCTGCTTCCATCTCACGAACACTGAAGCAAAATCTTCCAAGGGCGGCAGGTTCGTAGGATCTGCTTTTCTGACGTTACCCTGGTGTGTAAGCACTGCCATAATTTTTAGTAGCGCCTGTATTCCAACTGAAAATAACATAAACTGAAATGAATTAAATAATTATTTTCAATCACAATGAACGCACCACAAGCAATTTCGTCGTAAAAGTGGTTCAGCATGAGGCACAAAGGTACGATGGTTGAAAATGGTTGGGTGGCATCTTTATCCGGATACATCAGTTCGAAGTCGCAATGAACCTGAAGAAAAATTGCAGTAATTAAAACAAAACATTTTGAATAATGGCATCATGCAATCAATCTTACATTTCAGGAGTAACCCTTGAAAACGGCACAACAGATTTCGTTAGCAACAGCCCTTTCCACACGAATCAAAGTACGCCCACGCAAAACGATGCCATTATCAGAAAGGGAAGAATTACCCCAACCGGACGATGTTGATAGTTTGTGTTGGCGTGCTTCGGTTCTCGTGTAAAGGGCCTTACAAATTGTGTTTACAAAGTTTTTATGCCGTTTTCAAATGTTACGCCTGATTTGTTTCTATAATTCACGATGCACCTTTCAAAAGGCCCTATATGCTTGATCGATTCTCTTCACTGACTTTCTCTTTTGGTAACCACTCGTAAGCAAATAGAATCCATGCTATTTTTGCAACACAGCAGAATGATAGCAGAAGCTATTATCTTCAGCTTAGAACTTTGAACATAACAGGGAATGCTTATTAAGTTGAGTTATTATGGAAAGAGAAAGTCTATGAAGAGAATCGATCAATGCAGATAGGACATTCTAAAATGTTTATTTTGAATTTCAATAGAGCTTGAGAGAAATAGATATAGGAAGGATATATGGAATTTTTGAATTATTGAAATATTATTGAATTATTGAATGACCCATATTCTTGTTTACGACAAATGTGATTTCGAATATAAACCCTTATAAAAATTACCAACAAACAATAACACAAATTAAAGAGCTATTCGACATATGTTTTGGTTGAAATCCCGAACACGTTGTTAAGCAAAATAATCATAAAAAATTATTAAGGAATCTGTTGGTATTCTTATTTGTGACAGTTAAATTGAACCGAATTTGTTCTAAAGGTACATTTGAGCGGAGGTAAACAAGAAAACGAGTGAAAATCATGACCAAATGAAGGAATACAAAGATTCTAATGATGCTTTACTACAATTTTAGATGCTACTATAATAAAGAATATAATTACCGATTGTCCATCATGAAGCAATAAGTGAGGGAACTGATCTAACATCTCTGCATAGCGTATACTCCGTTTACGTAGTCCATCACGGTACTGAAAAGTAGCTCTCATCAGTTGTTCTACGATTGAATACTCAGTATTCTCATCAAGTTCCAAAAGTTCATCAATCGTATCAGCGTTCTCGCGGGTTAAATTTTGCACATTGTTCCGTTTTCTTTTTACAGATGATGGCGCTTGAGCTTGTTTGTTACGAATCCAAAAATGAATGTAGCCTGTATGTTCTCCTGAAGCCTCTCCATTATGCTCCCAGAAAAAGTCAGCCTGAAAAAGCAACATAAATACATATAACTTTACTAAAATTATATATAGTTATATTTAGTTTGGTTTTGGACATTGCAAAGTCAATAGTATCAATTTGAAATAAAATTTATGTGTACTTTTATCACACTTTTAAGGAGTATACGAAAACATTAATTAATTTATCTTTATTAGGGAGGCTTTCAGCCTGGGGCTGGTTCGCCTCCTACGAATACGAAAACATGTGTGACAGTTCTAATTGCTGTGAAATACGTAAAACACAGGATTTTCAAACATTACCTCGACTGGCTTATCCTCAGCGTTACATGTCAGGCAATCAAAAGCTTCAATGATACTCTGTGCAAGTTTTTTCTTCACGGCAGTTGTAATAGATCTAGAAACATATACAGAAATGATTCAATTTGATAATATCACTTTTATTAAAATATTTACCTTCCAGCATTTACTTCCTTCAAAAAGAAATGATCACATAGTGTTCGATTAATTAGAAGTTTCTCCTTTTTCAGCAGTGAAACACCTTCCGCTAATTTTCCACGTAACAGCTTCTGACATTGGGGACTTGATTCGAGTACGTTTATTACCGAATCCTTGTTGATATTTTCATCCAACTGAATTGGATTACTGTTGTTTAATGATGTTTGAATGGTCTTAAAAACCAAATTCAGATTTTCTATTATGATAAGGTATTTAAATTTTGAATAAATTATAAATTTACCTCCGATTTTATTTCAGATTCATGAAAAGTTTGTTGAAGTTTCTGAATCCTGAGCCAAGAGCCAAGTTTCATCTGCAGATTTGACATGACCATTTCCTGCGACAACATCATGAACGTTTCAATTGTAGTTACATCGTTTTCTGTAAAAAGAAATGCATTACAATAATTGCTGGTTAATTTATCGAATTAGATAACTAAAAATTATAAGTTTTGTAACGTTATTGTGAATGATGAATTACGTACCAATAGATCGTACACTAATTACTTAAATGTTAATGGAAGGAGAGACGGTCAATGATTTTATTATGCACTATGGAACATTTGTTAGATTTATTCATAAAAATACTACGAAGGGAAGCAAAATATTTAAAAAAAAAAATCACATTATCAGTGATAACCTCAGTTACAATAAAACTCAACAGTTACCATAAAGCATAAAAGTATCGAAAAAAGGAGGATATTGAAAAAAAAAATCACTTCTGTAAAGGGCCACCCACATTAGATACGTTTGCGTTGCGTTGATGTAAATATGACAGTTAAACAATAGATTTAGCTGTCACTTTGCCGCAACGCGTTAAATCTAAATCTAATGTGGGTGGCTCTTAACTGGGAGGTAGAAAATAAATGTGTTGCTGTAACCAGATTTTTTTTAGCTGCAGGGGACGCCACAGAGCGACAGTTGGAGAATGATTACCATGCATTATTTGTACTCATTAGTTTTATATTGTAAGCAAAACATGCATACTGTCATACATCAGCCGGCTCCAAATTACAGAATAATCTAATTTAAATTTCGACTTACCGATAAACTTCCGTTAAACATTTTTGTAGACTTCATTTGATTTCAGCTTTTAAATTTCATTCGACTATGATGGATAATCTGGATGATGGATAATATGGCGCTCTAGTGTTTAGTAATTATTTGAAATCATCATAATATTGTAAAGCAATGTAACAATCTTCTGAACCATAAGGAATCCAAATACTGTATGTTTTCCTTTTGTAGACTCTTTCTTCAGGTAGCAGCAAATCATTCTCAGTATTTTTAACATGATAGCTGTTGAACTTTTCAGAAAACCCAACGGTAATAAGACAATTAACTACGAAATATAATTTTAAGTCCACATAGTAGATGTTGCTTATGACTGCGTACTGTAGTGAATTGTTAATATCGTCATATTTGATGACAGCACGTGACTTAAAATGAATTCCATCAATCATTACGTGTTTAATATTATGAAGATTGGCTGGAAAATTTTCTAGTGGTACATTATGTGGCACATTGTCTTTGGTCACAATACTGTCCGATATTATATCCACACGTTGGCAGAAGGATCTGGATACTATCGCTGAGAGTTGCTTTAAGTTTAAACGCTTTGTTAAACTTAGAGGAACATTTATGAAGTTTTGAGCATTTTTCATTTGGTTTTTAGGAAGTTTATTAAGGGCTTCAAAACGCATGCAACTATAATCGTTTGGAACCGAAGTAGCTCTAGCGTTATGTGCATAATGAGAAATATGATGTAGCTTGTTTATTGGTGCAATTCCTGGAAATAATTCCTTAAATTGTTCTTGCAATGCATTTGTGTTGAACTCCAATCCATCAATCATGTCATGAGTAGCCATGTTTGAAAAACATACGTAACAAACTTTCTGAAGTATAATAATCAGATTCATCTCATTATTCTGTTCAGGTATCAGTCCGTTGACTATGAAAGGGAAAACTCTTAGTAAAACCCATGTTTGAGCCGCTGTTTGCTTAAGCTTGCTTCCTTTTTCTGTTAGTTTTTGAATGGAAAAGTTACCACAAGGTTTATCTTGAGTTTCTACTGGTCCATAATCAAAGTTTTTTAAGCGGTCGTTAAATATATTGCAGTCGAAGTACTTGTTGGTCTTCACAAATGTTCGTAACACAAGTTTGATTACTTGAGGTACGACTCCTTCAAGTAAATCATGCATAGGGTCAAAGTTTTGATTTTTTGTAATTCTGAAGTATTCCAGTTCGTGCAACGCACAATCTCTCACCACGCCGCGTTCGCTTATCGCCTGTATAATAGTTATATAAAAATAAATTAATTAATATTGAATGGTGGTACACATTGAAGAGTTATAATAACATGCAAGAAATAACAGGACTTTTACAGAATACCTAAGCCGGGTTTTAATTGAACTATGAGATTTGTTCATTTGCACTAGAAAACCTAGACATACACGAAACGAAACGAAAATTTCGCTTATACATTTTTGCCAAAACATCAGTCGTATACTTTCCATAAGACAAACCACATAGTTCTTATAAGAATGCATTAAAGGTATGTGCGATCATTTATACATTTCATTTGGCATATGATCTTCATTAACTTTTTTGCAAGGCGTCAGCTTATTAGTTGACTTATACATTTGATGAATAATCAGCAATAGAAATTTGCCAAAAGGTAAGGGGCTAGGTAAGGGGATTTCTATCCATTTATGTATCAATGTTTGAAAACTAAAATCTAAAACCACTTAGATTGCGTCATTTCAACCATTCACCCATGCAATAAATTGATAATAGATAAAATTGGATTAATTTTAATTATTTTTTACATTGAACTGATTGAGATGTATACGTTAGTATGATATTGTTGAATTGTTGTAAAAACAAAACTAGCGATGTAATTTTAATTCACACAAGCTAAGAGTTTACCTTAATTTTAGAACGTTGTCTGCCTGTTTGTGCTGCTTCTATTTGCTGGTTTTGAATGTTTTCCAAATCTAGTTGATGTGATGCTTCGGTTCTTTGTTCAAATACTGCTCCAACATTGCCATTTTTCAAATCAGTTTTAGTTATGTAGCATTGTCTACAAAAGTATGACGCGCTTGGACTTAATAAGCCAAATATCTCATGGGCTGCTAATGTGTCCCCAGCAAAGGAGCATAGAATCACTTTCATAACATATTCTGCATTACCAAATTTAAGCCTTAATCCAGATTCCAACGATTTTAAATCATTGATCAGTGGTTTTAAAACTTCGTGGTATCCATGTTTCTTTAGAATTTTAGAATTAATAGATAGCACTAAGTAATTTGTGTTGTAAGTAGAATCTCGACATCGATCAAAGTTTTGGATTTTGATGTAAAAATGAGCGATTTTATGCTTACCTGCTCTAGAACTTAAATTGTTCACGATTTCTATTTCGTCAGCATTCAATGTTAGACGAAGCGCGTTTGGACTGTGATGAAAATAAGGATGATTTTTAAATTCTGTCCCATCCTTGAATGAGCATATGTAGCCTTCAGGTGACACATCTTCTTTTTCCACTAGTTCCATTGCATCTGGGTTTCTCATTATCAATGATAGAAGCTCACAAACAGAGATATATTGATATGTATCTTTTACTGTCTTCACTATTTCTTTTCTAACAACTCCAGTTCTTTTGAGAATTTTTTTATACTGCTTGATTCTTTTTTCCTCAAGAATAATTTCAGTTGGCTCAGGAATTTTACATTTCAATTTCATTGCCATGTATGCAATATGAGTATTCATATCTTTGATATTTGTGAAAACATTTCCCACAGTGAAACTGTTTATTATGTTCACCAAGCATTCCTGATCAATCATATTCCGTGCAGTCTGTATGACATGTTTAATTTTGTTCCACAGATAGCTTTCAATTTTGTTTATAAGATTATTGGTGCATGAAATGACGTTCTGTATAAATTTCTCTGGAATCGATACATTGCAACGCATTTCAGAAATGTAATTACTTGTGAAGTTTAGAATTTCCTCCAGGTTGGTAGTATTCTGGAAAATAACCATGTTGGTTATACCATCTAGATTTTCGAAAAAAACATTTGTCATATTAGGTGGCTCGTGTTGTTCTGGCTCCTTATGAGGTTCTACATTATTATCTGCATCAATAGCACCATAGTAATGAAGTGAGTGATTTTCCAGCAAATGGCTTTGAAAGTTTTTGAACATAAAGAACTGTGCATTGCATCGATGTGTTTCATTTACATTTTCCAAACACGTGAATGGTAAAGCATTTCTTCTAGATAAACGTAACCCATGGACATTTTGAAAATGCTTTTTTAACTCATGTATTCCTCCTTCAACTGTATTGATTCCTGGTGTACAAATGTGACAGGCATACCCTTAAAAAATAGTAAGTTTATGTATGGTTAACTTTGAACCAACTGAAAATCTTATTAATGTATGGTAACAAGGCAAAAGGTTTGAGTAGGTAATTTTTCGTATTTTTGTAACGTCACACATAGAAACAGGGAGAGGGTTTTGGAAAAAGTTATTGCAATACTATACAGCTGATGAATGCATACTAATACATACTAAAACAGGTAAGGGAGCAATCCATTAAGTTCATCACGCTCTTAGGAGGGAGGGGGTGTACAAATGTGTGACAACAATGCATTAGGTAAAGAATAAACGTGACGAAAGAGGGGAGAGTGTTGCTTTTCTTTAAATTTGCATGACGCGAACTGAATCCATGCTCCTCAATGCCAAAAATACACAAAAATAGAAGTCAGAAGTTGTTTTATAAAGACATTCATCCTTCCAGTGACTCATATCGTAATGATTTGAATTCTAACCATTGAAGAACGTTGACTCGAAAACATTCGGAATCTTAATCACGAGTTGTATAAAAGTTGTTAAAAAATTAATAGTGTGAGGCTTATAAAACAAGGCAGCCTACATTGGGCTGGACATGTTACTCGTATACCGTAAGAGTAACACGTAAAAACAATCAGCAGAGAACCTTAGATACGTCAGCTCCATCAAGGCTACGCACAGGTTGGCTTTTTACTGTTGAGAAGAACTTAAGGACACTCTACGGTCAGGGCGAAAGCTATTATCGATTGATGTTAGAATACGTCCAATGTTCATTTGTCGATCGAAGAATCGATTAACTTGCTTCGCTTTCTACCGCGACCTGAGCTGTGTGTTTGCAATATTGATGAATGCAATCAAAAGTTCAAAGCTTGAATTTTTTATTGCAAATCCACCGCTGTAGAAAGCGAATAAACTCAATCGATTCTTTGATCAACAAAACGGACATTGGCCTTATTCTAAAATCAATCAAGTTTAATTCCATGACCGGGTTCAGTGCAGGATTCTCTATTCTACTTGGTCCAAAACAACGATGCCCCATCAATTAGGCTGGATATTCGATAATCGGCTAAATAAATTTTCACATTCAGGAGAAATAATTTGTAAGAATTATTGTTCATTTGATCATCATAGGGGTTAATGCCAGGTAAGTATGATTATTGTTCATTTGGTGAACATCATAACGAAACTTATAGCGAATTTGTTTATTATCCAGTTCCAACCTGGATCGGGTATTAAGATAGGGTCTGCTTGTTTACTAGCAAACGTCACTTTGATCGGGTCGAGGTTCGCACTGACAAAAAGTTTGGGTTCGCACTGGGTTGGAACTGGTTCCAACCTGGGAATAAACAAATTCACTATTAAGTTGCATGACCTCCAATGACATACTTACCCACTAACCTAGCAGCAACCTCCTCGCCAAGCTCTTGGGGTAATCTTTCCATGCTGGAATATTCAAAGATAAATAATCAACAAAGATCGATTTCTTTCCTAATCCTACTTAAATTTGATTAAAAAGTAGACTTACCTTGATACGTCAGCAGACAACTATGTAACCGAAGAGAAATCTGGAATCCACTCTTGAGGGTTACCTGTAATAAAAGGACATAAGGTATAATGGAATATCATAAAAAAAAAAATCAATTTACCTACTGTAATTTCAGGTTAAAAATTGTCACCGAGAAACAACACTGCTTGCTGGCAAACTGAAATGATCGAAATGACAGCGCGCATGGAGGGGTGCTGATTATGTTTACGACGAATACACTGGAAAAATTTCTCTCGTACAAATCGGGCTTAGTTTAAAGTATATGGTGAAGATAGTATACTTTTTAAACTATGCTGGTTGTAAACCTCGCGAATGACAAAAATGATTAAATTTTAAACTATGTACGACTCGGAGTATTTCTGAGTGTATTGTACACTAAATTTGACATCGACATTGACTACAATAGGAGCTGATATTATTCCGTCACACATTTTTTGTTGATTTGCACCTCATGTTAGTACACAAAAACGCCATAAAAGTTGTGGGATAAAACATTTGCCAAAAAATACATTAATTTTTTTCAATAGCTCCATCATTAGTTTTAAGTTAGGTTTCTGAAGCAGAGAAGAAAGTGAAGATTGAAAAATGTGTGTTTGGTGAAAAAGTCTAACTTTCTAGTTTCTAATAATACTAAAAAATGAACAATTTTCTCAAAATAGGATTTTATTGAAACGCGGGCTTGTAATCACACAAGCATTCCTGAGTAATTGCGCTAATTGGGTTCTTTAATTTAAAAAAAAAAAGTGTGTCGATTTTTATATATCATCTGAAAGAGCTTCGATTTTTGAGCACAACGATCGAACGAAACCGTAGACTTTCATCTCGATTTTTAAATCAAAGTTTAAAGCAAAATTAACTCCACTGTTTGACACTAAACAAACAAATTGACAGCTCGCTTCCATACAAAGTCCCACCGAAGGGCGCTAAGATGGTGATATTTTCTAATGTAATCGCACTTATTTAAAATAGTTCCAGTGCTCCAATTTTGATCAAATTTCGGTTCCATGTTTAATGTAGATTGCGAATATGCCTTTACCTCAATACCCTTAAAGAACCCAATCGGAAATAGTAGATAGGGCTTCTTTCGCTATGATGCACGGTATATGCATTTGGGTTAACATCCGACGCCCCTCCTTCTTTACATATTCTGCTCAAAAAATACTTTCTAAGCTTCACCCCTGACAGGATTTCCCACTGTTTTTTATGAATGGGGTGGGGCAAAAAGTATTTTTTGTGCAGAATATGTTAAAAAGGATGGACTTGATGTTTGCAAAATTGGCGTGGTTTGATTGTTTCTCCCGGACCAGAAATTTGTGGCATCGCGAGTGAAATTTCTGTTTATTTACGCGGTGATGAGAAGTGCGCTGAACTATTGTCAGGGTTTTGAGATGTGCATTGCTTTTGTGCACGGAGTGACTTGAAAAAGAAAAGTGAAGAAAAGTGATATTTGGTTGTTGTGTGGTTGGAGTGGAGGGAAAAAAAAATATGCGTGGAAGCATCGGGAATGCGCTCCCGGGTGAAGTGATTTGGTGAGAACGTTCCAGTTGAAGATTGTTGACAAGTGTATTTGTGGTGATGCAAATTATGGTTTAGATGACGCATGACTTCAAACATTTTGTGTATCCAAATAAAACATATTACATACTAAATACGCACAGGGCATCGTCTGCTGACCATTGCCGCGGGTATATCGTGGGAGTCCCAGGTACCCGGTTCAAGCTTTAGTTGGCGGCGGTGGCTCTTCTTGACCTTCTACCCCCTGAGTAGTTAGTGTGAATAAGGGCGTCTATGTGATGTTTTGCTGTACCTGTTGTGGACATTTAGTGCATCCTGTTCCCTTAACTTGTTGAGGACACCCTGTCTTGCCTCAACAGTTACCCTTTTTGAAGTACTAGTCTTCACAACATAAAGGGCACCATTACGGAGCATGAGATTTGATCAAATTATTCGCAGTTCTACTTGTCCAACGCCCCCGGCTGGGTGAGGGATAGAAGATGACACACACACACAATATGTTAAAAAGGATGGACTTCGGATGTTTATCTAATTGCATATATAGAGGTACCAGATATGTTTTACAGTCAGTTGGCCACCTTTGCTGATTATGCCACCATGTGGAAAATCAAAATCAATGCCTCCAAAACACAAGCGATCATGTTCCTCCATCGGCAATCGCCCAAACTGAAACCGGCTCCATCTTGTACTGTAATCATGGATGGCACAAGGGTTGAGTGGTCCGCCGAAGTAACCTATCTCGGGATGTTGTTTGATGAAAAGCTCCTCTTCCGTTCGCATGTAGAGAAAACAGTAGTCAAGTGTTCTGCCTTGGTTAGGTGTCTGTATCCGCTGATTTGCCGCAGATCTCGCCTCTCAAGGGTAAACAAACTGGCCGTCTACAAACAAATCATAGCACCTGCGATCCTCTACGCAGCTCCGGTGTGGGAATCATGTGCACAGACTCACAGGAACAAAATTCAGGTCGCACAAAATAGAGTGCTGAGGATGGTTCTTGATCGTCCTTTCGACACTAGAATAACAAATTTACACGAAGAGGCAGGAATTGCCAAAATAGATTCAAGAATTAACGAAATTAAGACTAAATTTGCAGAAAAATGTAATTTATCAGAACATGCTTTGATAAGCAATTTGTATATAGTAGGTTAGGTGCATATAGTAGTTGAAGGTTAGTTGTAGTTGTAAATAGTAGTTATAAGTAGTCTCCTTTTTCCAATATCAAACCAATCCCACCAAGGTGGTCATACTTTAAAATAGGCCTGATAGGACTAGTAACTGTAAATAATAATTAAAATCTCAAATGAACTAAAGTTGAAAAGACGCATCTGTGTCACTTGAAAAAATTCATAAATGTAAACCACACAAACACAAGAAATAAAGATCATTTTTTTTAAGTAAGTTTTACAGTCAGTTGGTGGTAAATCACCCACAGAATAACATCAAAATATTGTGAGCGATTTTTTTCAGAGGCAGTAGTTGGGTTAAAAAATTAACGGAATTTAACTTTTTTTTACTGCATTGTAGTTTGCTTAACAATTATTTCCCGTCCATGTTTTTTCAGGTTGTCGTTGTAAGGAGGGGGGGTGTGTTTTGCATAAATAACTTTTCCGGGTTTCGTATTAGGGGCTGTTCATTAGCTACGTAGACATTTTTTTGGGATTCTTAACCCCCTTCCCCCCCCCCCCCCTTCCCCTCCCCCCCCTTCGTAGTTAATGAACAGCCCCTTAGTCGAACGGGACCCAAGTCACCTTTAACGACTGACTTAACCAAGCGCCACGCCGTCCGAAGCGGTAATGAGCAGAAGCGCGACAGCAGTGCTGTTTTCTATCTTTTCAGAACGATGTGCAACCAAGTGGTACTCGATTACGATGACTGGGTTTGGAAAAATCCGCTTATTTCATGAAAAAGTGATAAAATTATCATTTGTACATTTTTCAAAAGTTTTATTACAGAAAAATTAGAAACATATGTAGTTCAGCAGGTTTGTAATGTAATATCCTATCCAGTGCTGCGATTTGTCATTTTCATTGAGAAAACTTCAGTGGATATAGACAAAATTCATTTCAGCAGCAACACTGATAGAACTGAAAATCAAAATTTCCTTTGTCAAAATCTCACTCTTTTCTTTGTCAGTGACAAAGATTCTCTTGGTGAAAAAACTGTGAATTTGCGCATTCTGTGTCACATTATTGTTCTCCAGGCTGATAATGATGATGATTCGTATTCACTTTGATGGTTCTATGTAACTGTTTTGCTAAATTAATTTGATTTCGATAGTAATTCAGCAAATGAAAAAAACTGCACATCGTCGTCACTGACAATTGATATTGATTGCTACTGATGGTGACTCTCTGCTGAAATGAGTGACCAGGGTTGTTTTGTTATTATCAGTTTTTAGTGTCGAAATTTTGCAGCACTGATCCTATCAATTGGCGTATTTGGATTTTAATTTCATCTATAAATGGCAAAGTTACATGCGTTCAAAACCTAACACTTCTTCACCACACAAATTTTTTGATTTGCACCACAGTATAGTCGACAAAGACGTAGTTCTACGTCAAAAAAAAATATTGTTAAAGTTTTTATGTGTCCCTCACATGATTTTCTGCAATGTGATCAACATTATTTTTTCCCTGACCTACACTAAAATTCCCTGACATTCCTTGACTTTCCAGATCATAAATAGAATTTTCTGACAATCGCTGACTTTCCAGGTTTTTCCAGGTAGTCGACACCCTATTAAAAGTGCCCATCTCGTGATGTATTTTTTTCATTCACGGTTGGTAGTAAACATAATTACCTGTCTTGAGGCAAAGTTTCATCCAAATCAATTTTTTTAATCGACTTTAAATTTTTTAAATCGATTTTTTCAGTGTAGGTCTCAAATGGAATTTTTCAATATTTTTTTTTAAACTTGTAAAATTTCCTAACAGTTATCCATACAACACATTTTTGTAGGAGTTGTCATTTTTCGATAATATTTTTTTTAAATGTTCAGAAAAAGTTTGACCCTTCTCAAATGTTAGTCTAGATAAATTTAGGAAAAACTGAGTATGCACATCCCGAAAATTTCATTGAAACATGAGAGGGTGTTGCCAACTTCGATTCGATTTGGCGCGAAATGCGTCAATAGCAGAGTGAAGAAGTGCGACCCGGACACTAAAGGGTGATACGGTCAAAATTTGGTCAATATCAACTTGACGTATTTCTTTCAATTTTGCATTTAAAAAACCTGAACACCCCTCATTTTGAAGGTGTGTGTGTGTAGAATGTTGCTCCTATTTTGATTTTGGAATTCACTCTTCAGTTGTCAAAATGCCGTCCAAGCAAGAAGAGCAGCGTATCAAAATTTTGCTCGCGCATCGCGTAAATCCGAGCTACTCGCAAGCAAAGTTGGCAAAATCGCTAAAAGTTGCCAAATCAACCATTGCAAATGTAATTAAAGTGTTTGGGGAACGTTTTTCGACAGCCAGGAAGTCTGGATCGGGGGGAAATCGAAAACCGGAAGCCGCTGAGACGACAAAGAGAGTTGCCGGTAGTTTCAAGCGAAACCCTAACCTCTCTCTCCGAGATGCCGCAAATAAGCTGGGTGTATCGTCTACAACCGCGCATCGAGCCAAAAAACGAGCCGGACTATCGACTT